CACAATTCAACTGTTTCACTATTCAATCACAGCATACCTTTAATTGCTTCCTTTCTCAAGTTATAATCTAGAACTTTAGACACTTCTGAAATCAAGCTTAAAGTTTTTAGCTGCATGAATCACTTTCTTCCTCGTCTTAAATGAAGGTGCTACAGATCATGAACAAAATTTAGTATTGCCCTTTATCAGGGAAGTCAGCACTATCTATCTCCTTCTTGTGTTCAGAACAAAGTACTGCATGCAATCATTAATCAAGTGTTTGCATGTTCTATCTTACTAGATTTAAATGTATGCATTTTAAATAAATATTTAGAAGGTCATAGATTTATTTTTAATGGATTATATTTTTCATTAAAACTCACAAATAGCAGGGGACTCCCTTCCTAAATCTCAGAATAATTAGACATACAGAGCATTATCAACCACTTTAATGCAGCCATTTATTGAAATGAAACAGATAAGTTCTGCTAAACTTGCTTTCACTAATTGTCAAATGACAACATAAAGGTATTTAAAACTGAAGTTAGCTTTTTGTTTACCTGTGACGTTCATTCTCTTGCAATAAGGATACTTGATTTTTCTCACACATAATTCTCAGACACTAAATTTCTAATTATGATAGCTATATTTTGTTTACAAATTGCACAGTTCTCAAGGATGCTTTACAAATTTTTAAAATCCATATGAAAATAAAACAGAAGAACATTTCTAGTACATATGAAATAATCATGCATTATAAGACTATTCTATATATGCAAAATCTCCTTAGACAACTCTCATTTCTGTGATAAACATAAAAAAGTCTACAAATATGGAGTGCATAAATTAGATTTTAACTTAAAATTGTGGGAGGAAAGGACTCCTTGGGTTTGTGCTTTTATGCATATATAGTATAGACGCACATATATATGAGGACATCTCCCAGAGTGTAAAACTGCAGTTTCTCTTGACTGAATTGGTAGTTGGCCAAGAGACATCCTGAAAAGTAAAACTGAGACAAAGAGGGCATTACCATGGGGCAGAACAGTTATCAGACACCTGCCTCTACTGTCTTTTTCCTTCCAAAAACAGGTCTATCCAAAGCAAACGTTACACCATAGGTCCTCTTCTCTGAAACTAGACACTTGTTTGCTTTCTGGCCAAGAACATCCAGGTACAACAGGCCAAAAACTCAGATTTCAGACCTCTAAGCATTTGGCACAAGCTCTTTCCAGGGCTACATTTCAACTGCAGCTGCCTGAGCTCCCATCTCAAACCTTCTCCATTGGTTTCAATTAATCAGATAAACCAGCACCACAGAAGCACAGCTTTGCTAAATCTCGGCATTGAGGAATAAGGCAGGCCAAACAAGGGAGTATGACTTCAAAGTTTTCCACTGATGCAAGGGGAACAAACTCAACTCTAGTTAATCCTTTCAGGATAACCTAAGTTGTACATTGACACACATTGACATAGCAATTCTGGCTATACCCAAATGTCGTTAGAATAAATGCTACAGCAATAAGCAAGGCAAAATACTGATTTTACACTGCAGTAGTCATAGCTCCTTTTATACTTTCATTGTTTACTCTTCTCCTTACATAAAGGTTCATTTTTCCCCAGAGAGATGTTATAAAACTCAAGCTGCCTGAATTGCTAATGGACTTATTTCAAAGTTAATTAGTTTAATTTCAGAATCTGGTCTGCTACATCTCTATCTGCTAGGAGCAGATCTGTAGGGAGAATCAACTAACTATACGTGTTCCAGAATTGTTATTGCTGTTTTAACTTTGCAGTGGGGCCGAATGACCGTTTGTGGGTGGTGTGCATTCTGTGCAACCCTAGAGCTCATCTTCTGGTGCATTTTCTTCTAAAAGGAAGGTAGTTCCTCTGTTTTCAAGCAATCTCACAATGCAATCCAACACACAATACACAAAAAGGATCAGATTTGCTTTGAAGGTACCCTACTCATGCTCTGTAAACACACCCTGTAACTCCTCCAAAGCAGACTCCCCTTTTTCTTGCAGTACTGATGTTCAGTGATCAAAGTATCAAGAAAGTTTCTCTTAAATTTAAGAGAGCTTTGAACTCTATTTTTTTCCTTTTTACACCCAGTAGTTGGTAACATTTTCAGCATGTCCAAAGATAGTCCGTTTAACTCTCTAAAAAATGTGGAACTGTTCACAATCCTTTCAGTTATTCCGAATTTTTACACCTGTTACAGAAGTTTTAACTGTTTGGAAATCTCTGTGCTCCTTTACAGCCTAGACAATCTAAGACACAGTGTTCCCAGTATCAAAGAGAATTTGCTGGCTGTGAATACATTCAGCAGAAGCATCGTTCTATAAACTTCTTAAATAGGTCAACTAGTGCAAGAGCCACCACTTTTGTCTCGGTGGAGTCCTCATTCCTCTTTTACCTGCACCTAGCAAAGAAAAAGAGATCAAGTGAGCAGTTAAAAGGCATGTTTTTTTCCTCCCTGAATTACATCCAAGCCTGTAACTGCAGGCATCAACACATTCTGCTATATAATACAGATAAATTAGCCAGTAATGGGACAGTGTAATAAGATGTAATAATCATAAAGGAATCACTCTTTAGCAAAAACTTCAGCCTCCCTTACATTGCCTGAATAGTTTAAATTAACCAGATTTCACATAAATATTAAATTTTCTTCCTATATGAGACCAACCATCTCAGAAACATTTAACATTACTAGCATTATTTAAAAACTGCTTTCATTTAAAAAGACCCACTACATTTAACAAGTACATTTTTTGCTAAATGCAATGCCTGATAAAAATAAAAAAAAACTTACATAAATTATTTGCTTTCCAAATCCAAAAGTTATTATTGTCATAGCTTTATTCTATATTGGTATGACTAACAGCCAGCTGCAAGTATCTACAAGATCCTTTTATTACATTCCACAAAATTCATCTTATAATCAGAGGATCCTACTTTTCACTCAAATAATTTTTCTATCCCCAAAAATACAGTATTTTCTTTTCTCAGAATACTTGTTTTAAACATGAAATGTTCTTCAGAGCTGCTCCTTCCACAATATCCACAAGATGTCACCATTGTAAAAGAAAGAAACCCCATGTTGTAAAAGGAAATTCCAGAGTTTATGTTCTGAACCATAGATTTTAATTATTATACTTCCCAATCAATTCAGTTCAATGATTTGTTGTTATATAATATAGGCACTAAACGTATTCAACAAAAAAAATGGGAATAAAAAACAAAACATAAAACTGTTTTCAAAATCAGAGAGAACGAGACCCTGTAGTCACTTTGAATTACTAAACAAGGAAAAACTTGTCAGACAGCAAGACCATTAAAATAAGTAGAGAAATTTATGATTCTAGCAGTGTAAATGACTTACACAGAAGATACTATCAGTGTAGAAACTATAGAAAATGTAAATGCAAATAAATAAAGAAATAGACTTGAGAAGCAAGTAGTCTCCCAGAGAGCTCAAGGAAAGTCTGGTATTATTTTTTATTTAGTAAGGAAATACAATTATGTAGCCAAGCCGGTTCATCTGTGACAGAATAAAAAAGAAAAATAATTTAAATCTATATAGGTTCAGTGAAAATCCAAGGAACAATGAAGGAAATTATATCATCCTGTGCACTGTAGGAAAGATTGAGAAGCCAGTATGTACAGAAATGCTAAGTGAAAGGAAGGTACTAACAGAAGAAGTTAGACTTTTAATTTTATTTAGTGCTCAAAGCTTCTAAGGAAGTTTTTAGCACTGTAACTGAAGGCATAGACTAAAATTAATTTCCAAAGATTTGTGACATTTCCCCATTTTGAACACAGGGATCTGAAATTGCAAGGAATCCATGCACAGTTAAAAGGATGATATTCTTGCTACAAATTCTATTCAGAACTTCCTTACAGAGATCAAGCTTTCAGGATCTTTCTGTGCATTACAATCCTGGTGCATTCTAAAGGACTCAGTAACAAGTCTACACTATTTCCATTCAGTGACCATATAGCTAAACCACTTCCCTTCTGTGGGTGCACTGACTGCCTTTTAATGAACAACTCATTAATTATTAAGAAGAGAAATGTATTAAATCTTATCGTGTCTTTGGAGTAATAGGTGTGACAGCTAATAGTAGTAAAAAAGTCATTTCCTTTGACAGGCAAAAATAAACAGCAATAAAACAGAAGTAGAGGCAGGAAGTCATAGGAAGAGGGCATATCAGATAAGTAATCTGGAGGTATTTTAGTGTTTCTGTTAAGAGAAGAATGGCAATTTCAATTCATAGCAAGCTAATCCAATTGAGACTTGTAAGAGAAGTGGTAAAGGATAAAAACAAAATTCACAAACATCTAGCATAATTATAGTCAGTGAATTAAACATTTAGGATCTTAAATAATTTATCTGTAATGAGAAACAATTATTTATGGAACTGGGAATAAACTACAGCATATGCTTAAAGTACATCCATTAGTCCACAGTACATGTCCACACATAACTCTTGTACTGTCATAAAAAAGCAGTTTACCCTCCTTTTTCATTGAGAGGTTCATACAAATAATACCCAACCAAAAACCAGACAGTGGATACTCACTTCAGGAAGCACTAAAAATCTGATGAGATGATATGACATTAAAAGATGGAGGAATAAAATCAAACCTATCTAGACATTTAAAAACAGAATAGAAAATTAGGCTGTGGAGGAATTTAGTCTTCAGAAGTACTCACAACTCTTTAGTAATTACTGTCATTATTTTTTTCAAATTAATGATCCAAAAAGAAAAATGCCCAACACAAGAAAGTCCAGGTCACATATTTCTGCTGTACCTTCAGACAGAAAATATCAAAGCTGTTAGCCTTTCATGACATTAAATTACCCATACCTATATCCACACGGAAATTTATTCCAGAAACCAGTATTTCATCTGTGTTCGTTCTTTAGAGAGGCCAATGTGTATGCTACATAGGATGCATTAAAAGCAGATTTTTAAATAGATTGACTTGATTCCACATAACAAAACCTTACCTTGCCAGCTATCATTGCAAACACACAGCTTCTCTCCTGTCAAATCACAGTATCCGTGATCTGGACTGCCACAGTTGGCTTTACAGTATGGAATATCACAGGCTTCTCCTTTCCAATACTTGTCACACTCACAGTATACCCGGCTTGGTACAGACACACTGGTTGTACACTTCCCATGTTCTGAGCAGTTATTAGGACAGGAATTAATTCTGGGGAGAAAAAAAGAAAAAGTAAAATATAAGGAATGACGAGTCGAGATGACAGTGGTTTTATCTGACAGTACTCCAACAACATTTGCTAGATAAAGTACTTTTTACCATGAAAAATTTCTATTTTCTGATAAAACACAAGTCTAATGGTGATTTTACAGGCAAATGAGTTCAAAAGTGTTTATCCAGGCTTACATACAGAGTCTGTGATGCAGCCAGGGTCACAAATATCTTGCACTGTAACAAGTATTGACATTAAGCAGGAGGACAGGCCCTGCCTGGGCAGACCACCACCTATTTTTTTTCCTCTGTTCCAGTATCAGTACTCTAATCAGTCCTTTCAAATGCTTATTATCTCTAGGAACAAGCCCACTGGAAGTGACTGAGCTTAAACTCTCCACCACAGGCTTACAATTTAAAGGGTTTTTCTGAGTAGCTTTGTTCCATACTATAAAACAGATGTCTAACATCTGAGGGGAATAAAACAGGAAAAACAATGTAAGGAAAAATACAAGATGCAAATCTAATATCCCAAAACTACCTACAGGTCGCACTGCATGCTTTGAAGCATTAATAACAGAGCCACCTTAACTCTGCCTCCTTAACTCTGCAGTCAGAGTTGCAAAACCAAGAAAGCTTAGGCTGAAAGAAGTCTGTGACTATTATGGGAATTAGTGTTTCTGTGATACACCCTACCAAACACTGAGATCACAGGCAATCGGACTGCAAAATTAAGCAAAGTGGTTCCAGAAATGCAAGCAACTCCTTGGAGATGAGGGGAGATGGAGGATGTTGGAAGTATGTGGGTCCAAGAGATTCCATGAACAGAGTCCCAGGTGGTATGTGCCTGCTGAAGTCCAAAAAGGATTTGAAACCTTTTTTGATGACTCATAGCAAAGGGTTGGGTTGAAACTCAGAATAAATTGTTATTGCATAAAAACTGCTGATGTTAACACAAAGAACTCCCTGTAGATGTGAGATGGATACTGGTCATAGCCTTCCTTGCTCTTTCTGAATGAAGAAAGGACTGTGAAAAGTTAGCAAACAATTGTTTGAGGCTGGTCTTTGACAAAATGTAGTTGTGGTAGGACTGTGAGCAGATATGTTTTTGTTTTCTATACACTACTAAAATAGAAAATCCCACATCTGAACTGCAAACATCCTGGGCTTTGCCTGGTAACACACATGGCATTAAAGCCATTTATGGCATTAACTGCTGCACGTTACAGCTGTGAGGAACCTCTCCCCCCACTTCACAGGGAAACTGTTCTGCAGGGAGATGAATGGTTCAGTTTTTCCAGCACTCTGAAAGTAGACAAATTCCCACTCCAAGAGGTTCATTAAGGATTCAAATGAAATGAGAAAAATTGGATCAGCAGAATTAGAAGCAAGACGCCTGACTCCAAGGAACACGAAATTCACTCAGACTGTTGTGGAGTAACTACTGTTGTTTGCAACTGGCATGGCACCTTAAATCACAGATTTTGTGCTTCTGTCTTTCCCAAAATAAAGGAATAGGAGCGGTCCATCAAGATGAAGTGGAAAATCAACGAAGGAAAAGGGTAACAGAAGCAGAGTGCAATAGATCAGTAACAGAAACAAAATTAATGCAGCCATAAAAAGTAATTGTAGGTACTTCTTTATCATAAAAATCATTACTGTTGGCTTATTAAAAAATATATATTTTAAAAGTATCCATTGCAATAGAAGAAACACAAGATCAGAGTACATAAAATTTCATGAGTTATATATGTAATGGAATTAAAAACTGGCAGGTTTTTTCATTTATTTTAAATCTTCCCAAAAAATTAGGCAATGATATGCAGCATGCACCACATTACCAAGTAATAAAAGAATGCAGAGCACATACTCTCATTCCTTAAGAATGCCATGTCATATTGCCATTTGCTCCCAAGACAAATAAAAAAAAGTGCAATAAAAGCTTCAGGGATAACTGAAAAATGTATCTAATTACACTAGAGAAGTCTGCCAGGTGATTGCATTTTACTGATGTCAACAGACAAAAATTAAAAATACTCAGTCTTCTAGACTGCCATTTCCAATGCAATATATTTCGTGAGGTTTCCTAAACTCTGAATAGCCATTTATTATCTGGTCAAAGGTAGGCAAGCTGCAAATTACAGGAACAATCTTTCCATAGACAATTTAACAAGTACCTCTGCCAAGAGCAAAGCTATGGTCAGAAGCACAAATAGGAAATTTAAATTAATAAAGAATATGAAAAAAATATTACATGTACTTCCACATAAGAAATGCAGTGCTGGCCACCACATCCCAGTAACTGGTATTTCAGAATCTGAAAGAATTGAGAGAAAAGAACAGGTATATCTTCAATCATGGAAAAACTACCACATAAAGAAACAGGTCCAAGAGGACCAAGCAATCCCCTCTTGACCTAAAGCATCCAGTATGAAGAGCGTTGCATTATGTGTCACAAGCATGTCCCAAATGAGACAGCAATTGAGATCAACAGTGGGTACATAAAGAAGGAAGAGGTTCAGATCCATTGGATGCATCTTCAGAACTGCTGACACAGAAAAGGAGACCGGAATAAAGCACAGTTATATCAGATTAGACTCCGCCATCAGAGGAACTGAAAGACGGACAGAGTAGATAAGAACTGTGAAGGCAGAATGCAAACTGAGATGGAAAACAGGAAGGGAAAGTACCTGAGAAGTAGAGAAGAAATGGAATAAAATCTTTGTGGCTGGCACAAAAGCCAAAGTAGAATTTCAGTGGAGGTTTCATAAACCACAGAAGTATATTCAGCAAGAAAAATCCCGATCCTAGTTCAAGAGAAGGGAATTGACATGACAGCAGATATAATCTCCCTTCTATTCCATATGACAACTACATGTGTTGGATAAACACTGGAAGAGATACATTTTAGTTCCATATGGCATAAGAAAAACATACTCTTGGAATGGCCATGTGGCTTCACTCAAAACAATACACTCTATCTCTGAGATTTTTTTCCCCCTAACTTGTACCTTAATAACTTACTACAACCCTGGCTCCCTGGTTTTAGGAACACACCACTAAGTATAACCATTATGCCATTGAAAAAAAACAAAAGTCACTACATATTAAAAAAATACTTACGAATAAAAAATGTTAAATCCCGTTAGGTTATAAGCAGCATCACTAAAAAAGTGGAGCAATGCATAGCCAGATGTAGTAACTACTTCAGGAACAGTTTCATTTCCACGCACTTCAGGGACTATTAGACCACTGGAAAAGAAAATGGGAAAAATGCTTATAAGTAATCCTTGGGAGAGAAGGGGGGGGCGGGAAGGAAGGAGGGAATTAGCTATTCTGGTGGTTAACTATATAAGCAAGATGGTGCCTAAATATAATTTGAGAACTTCTTTTTAAAAAAACAAATCATAAAATGTGTATAAAACTTGTCCATGGTAAGATAGGGGTTTCCAGGAAAAATGCCAGTGTTTAAGCATTAACACTCCAATGTTAGCAGTAAGTACAAGTCACAAAACGGATTTACGCTCTGATCACCTAACCAAAGATGTAAGGCTTTAGAACTCATCCTAATATAACTCTACATACATATTCCCATATTATTAATAAAAGAAAGCAAGCTAGTTAACATATTAGAGCCTCTAATATTATTTTTTCCCCAGTAACTAAAAATGTTCATACTTGGACTAAAAGATTCATAAATACACTCACCTAAATACAGCTATTAAAGGTGCATATATCGAATCTCCATCATATACATACATATGGTCCCAACTACATTCTGTGGCAAAGTGATTAAATCTTAATCTTAGTATCGCATTTGGGCTGAAAAAAAATAGAACATCCATGTAAAACATTATTTACAGAATTATTGAGCTCATAAGATAAAGAACTTACAGTAAAATTGATCATGCCAGCATAACTCTATTAAAACATTTTGAGTAATAATAATAACCAAACATTTCAAGGTGTTAAATAACAAAAGTCAGAGCAAGCAAATATTTCACTTTATCTTAAAAAAAACCAAAAATAACATATTCAGTCCAAGTCTAATAATCCCTAAAGTTAATAAGAGACTTAAATTTATCAGATTTTATTAGTATTCAGAACCACAAATTTAGAGCAATCAATATATCTTATTTTAATATACTAGTTTTAGTTTACAATGTCAGGACTATGAAGTTTAAAGAATCTTTCAAGAAAAAAAAATTACCTACACATCCTCATTCCAGTATTCTACTAGTTATTGAAAATCTTAAACCACAAATCTAAAATAGCAAGCAATATTAGTGCAAGTGCCTGCCCCCACCCTCTCCCAACACCTGGGAGTCAAATTTCACTAATTTTTGGCTGAGATCCAGATAGATCTGTAAACTTTCTGAAAGGAGACTTCTTATGTATTGCAAAATTACCGATACATATTCCATGAAACATAATGATTATTTTCTTTTATGTCTCCCCGCTTCTGACAGGTTTGAGTGCAATTTGTCAGTTTGGAAAACGTGGGTTTTTTGTGACAGGTCCTTTGAGAGAACTCTCTGTTCATTTTTTAAGAAAGAGTATTTTATATATGTGACTTCCTTGTATGTTGACATTTTGCACTGTGTTACTGGTTGCTTTACTCTCTCACATACTGTGCAACACACTGTGTCCTCCAGCTGCCCACTCCATCTCTGGTGAAGAGGAGGAACGGAGTGAAGACCAGCTCCAAAGCAGAGTTTGCCTGTGCTCCTGAGGCATGTTTCCACGTTAGCACAGTGTAGTGCAGTGCAAACATTCCTGAGCCAGCTTGGGTAAAAAGAGAAGTCTAGCTAGGGCAGAGAGATATTCAGCTACAGCCTGGTCAGCTAGATATTGAAGCTTCTATTTAAATAATTTTGCAAATTATCCATAACTTCACTGTGTTTAAATTATTATCTGCATATGAGTAGAACAAAATTAGATCAGATACTATACTTTTACCTTTTCTGATACCTTTACTGAACTTTTACCTTTGTTTTTTACTTTACTTTTAACTTAGATATCTGCTACAGAGCAGATATCTATGGTAATTGAGATTATGACAACACAGAAATACAGAACAGGTTAATTTTCTTCCAGAATGTTAGTAGAACTCAGAACTAGAGTCAGCAAAATCCTGACCCACATCCAGAGGGGGAAGAGTCCCACTGAGATGCAACCAGTTTGTGCTTTTAACAGTTAGTCATACTAATGCATGTGTCTCATTATTTCTTTGGGCATGTCTGTGTGTTTCTGTGCTGCACAAACTGAAAAATTAGAAACAGATGAGACATCTAAACTGTGGGCACAAAATTGTTTTGAAATTAAGTACATGAGGAATACTAGAATGCCAAAGAAAATACTTTATAGAAGCACTAACTTTTGAGCAACATGTAACTGAATAAGCGTTCTGTACTTGAGACCATTCCTGATTTACCACTGATATGAGTTAAATAAGATTGGTAAGATAATGAGTGAAATAATGGGATTCTGTAACTACATGTAGAACTTATGTAAAGGTAATCAAACATGCAACAAATTTATCATTGGGTTTTGAGAGCTTGCAGCACTGGCCAAATTCCAACGTCAGCCTAACTTTTGCCAGCAATTTGAATGGGAATGGAATTTGGCCAACTCTGAGGAATCCTGAAAATCCTACTTCTTTTATTTTTTTTTTTTCTTTATAACATTTAAACAAGAACAAAACAAACAAAGACCAAAACTGTTTATATTGTATCCACATGCAGTTTCTACTTCAGGAGTTCTTTCAACCTCTAGAATACACAGTACCAAATTGTCAGAAAATCGAAATTATATAAATAAATACTTACTATCCTTCAATTAACCATGTACATTTAGTTTTATATTTATAATTTATGGGTCCATCTGTTAAATATCCAGAAGGTTCTGTTAACCTACAAGAGGAAAAAACAGTGCTGTAATAAACTGGAGACAACACATCAGAACATGCATCATAGACATGCTAACAGAATCTTTCTGGATGGAAAGAAAATTAGAGGTAGGGAAAACAGTAAAGTCTCTTTTCACATTTCTTGTCACATTGTTTGTATTCATAAAAACTTGAATTCTGACTATTCTATATCATTGATTTGCTTTCTTCCCCCAGGCAAGCAGAGGATTTCTATTTTTTCTAATTCAGTAGCAAATAATTTAAATTATCCTTCACACAAAATGTATCCAAGCCAATGTAAAGGGGTTTTGTTTAAAAGTATTATTTTGGTTTGACTTGCTTGTTTACTTTGCCGTTGTCTTGCAAAATACTTCTGAAATTAGATATCAGAAAAGTGTTCTAGATCAAGAAAAATTAAGGCATAAATTTAAATAAGTTTAAATAAGTTTATCTGTAAGCCTCTTCCTCTCTCATTCCTAGTAAATACCCTGTCTCTTCACAGTGGCCTACAGTGGATATGCAGGAAAGAATTTAAATCCCTACAGATACTCCACACAGCTTTACACCACCTTCAGTGACTTCCATCTCAGGGACGCTCTTATTCAGAGGTTGTGCCTTTGGGTTCATGTTTGTCCCAGGAGTTACCGCACATAAACTCACATAAACTTGCAGCATCTAGAAGATGCTGAAGGAATGATTTCCACACATACACAAGACATCTCAACTGTTTTTGTCCTGAGCCTACCTCTTGGTTTCATCTATGTCCTTAGGTCTGGTATTGGATGAAGGGATGAACAATTGTACCCTATTCACATGCTTGATCCCACTCAAAATGTAATGGTCTGTGTTGTTTCCTTCCTTTCCCCCACTGATCCTTTTCCAACCTAAGAAATCCTTGCTCTCTGCCTTTAATGTGTCTTTTCTATTCTCCTAGAGCCATCTGAGCTGCAACACAAAGAGCAGCATATTGTATTCAAGATGCAAGTGAACCACGAATCTGTACAGTAGCAATATTATTTCCATTTTATTCTCTATTCCCATTTAAGATTTTATTTGCTCTTTCAACAACTACTATTCTGATATTTTAAACAGAATAGCTGCTATAACTTTTTTTCTGAGTGATAATAGATAGCTCAATATACACATATAGAATTCATTTAATGTAGAAAGAGAACCTTTTTCATCTGTTCATATATATTACTTTGCATTAATCTTTGCAGTGATAAAATAGCAGATGAAATTCAATAATCTATTAAGATAAAAGCTTTCTGAAAGAGCTTATTATCTTCAGCCCACTGTAACTTCACTAATCCACCCCATTTTCTGCATCCTTTAAGATTATGTTCTATAGTTCAGGTCTTGACATCTCTAGTGGCCTTACTCCTCTGGGAAAACTGACCCTCCTACTTTTTAAAATGTTACAACAATAATAATGAATATAAATACATACTCAAAAAAGCTCATTTTTTTCACTATAGTGTTGAAAGATCATCATTAAGAATAAGTATCACTGAATTAAAAAAAAGGAGGTTTTTTTCTGTTTTATTTCACTACTTTAAATAAATCAATAGACTAGATCTAAATCCAGAGGCAATGCTGAACAAGATGACCAAGTCACAGCTAAATTTTCTCATCAGGAGTCTAGCTGAACAGGAATTCAATATCTGCTATCCTACTATATATGCACCAATTTTAAAAATATTCATTACCACATCTACTGCAAATTATTTACACTGGAACTCATATCAAACACTAATTGCATACTTATTAACAGAGAACCAAACATAAAATTATAAACGTGGAAATGAAATTAAAACAAGGGAGCAAGAAAGAATAATTTATGAGACATGGTCTGTGCAAACTCACGTTTTTACACAAGTTCCTTCACCTTTCCTGCAAGAATCAGCATCAGTTTGTTGGGCACATTGTTCCCATCACTGGTGGTTTGAATTACACGCACTTTCCTTTTGGGACAAAGCTGTCTAATGTGGGAACTGGCCAAATAACTGTACTCAAAAGATTTTCAAGGCATAAAAGTATGTTTCTGAATCAAAAAAAAAGTTTATGTTTCTGAATCAAAACACGAAAAGCAAGTAAACAGCTGGTAACACGAGCAACAGACTGGGAGGGGAAAAAATAAAAACAAAAAAACCACCATATACTCTAGTCAGCTGACAGTTGAGAGAAAATTTCCCCCGTAAAACCCAATACATGGAGCTGGTCTGAAAGCTGCAGCACACCACTTCCCAAAAGTACTGTATCCTGGTAAGTGCTACACAAATGCTGGTGTAGCCCAAAAGCAAAGCATGAATTAGCGAGGCATGGCTGGTAACTGCCACTCCTCCCTCCCAGCAGCCGGGAGGAACTGCAGAGATGGCCAGGGAAAGGTTAAACACGCTCCTGCCAGGTGCTCTCCTTAGAATCAGTGTCTGGCCACAGAACATTTTTGCTTGAAGAAAGCAAAAGACACCCACAGTTTAAGTTTATAACATTTCTTCTTGTTGAGAAATATCAACTTTATCTAAAAGTATACATCAGTGCTTCTACACGTGACAAACAGGTTTTTCAGAGTTATTTCTGGCTTCTTTACATAATAATGACATTGTTTGGACGATGCTGAAATTAACACCAACCTATACTTTGGACGTCTAAGCTTCAGGTCACTGATTTTGAAATCAAGCTATATTGATGCTTGGCCTCTGGCAGAACCTTAGTGAAGCTGATTACAGGAGCAGATCCTATGTTTAAGTGTGTGCTAGACTGAAGTATTTTTTCTTTCTTTTTTTTTTTAATAAAAGGCATAAGATTCCAATAAAATTAATTGTAGTGCTGGCATATCATTTATATACAGAAGCAAAGTCCTATTTAGCATGCCACAGAACATTTATTTTCCTGGAAGAAGAGTGAAATATAACTAGTATTCATTTGCAGTCATGACCATTGCCTTCTTAGTAGCTGTATAATGCAATGGAGGTGACTTACAAGAGTTGTTTTTATTAGATCAGCCCTTTGGCACCAGTAAAGTACAAACAATTTCCCTTGTCTCCTAAGCTGATAATTTTTTGATAAATAGTTTCTTTTGGAAGAGCAGATAGCCTTTGAAACAGCTATTGCACTTTGCTGGAAAAAGTAAATAACTAAGAGCACAAGTTTGCAATAATGGTTGTGGAAAATGGTAAGATAAGGGGCTGTTCTATTTAAAATAAATACATAGCAAGACAGATGGGAATTCTTTTCAGTTTCTCGAGTCATATCAAGAACTTTTCTGTGTTATTTTTTGTTCCAAATGTTATCAAATACCAAATCCCACAAATAACAAAGCTAAGCATAACTACTTTCCTGTAACCTCTTACCAAATCAAGGTCAATATTCTCCTTCATATAAAGTCAGGTATTTGTGGGCAGAGTTTTCCTCTGTGACTAGCAGTGATTCTGTCAAATAACCAAAACCCAGAAGAGTCAACATGACTATACACTTTTTAGTCACAGAAGCGGAATAGCCAGAACGATGCCTGGATGCTGCACCCACATCCTTGCTGACTGCTGAGAAAGCCTTAGTGATGAGAGGAAGCCAGAACAATTTGTGTGGCCTGCTTAGGCATCACAAGTTTATAACACCAAGATTCCAGCTTTCTAAACAGAATGCACAGGGAGTAGCTAATGTTGTATATTGTCATTTTAAATTGCACACCAGCTTTCATAAACACAACAATATTGTTTTTAGTTGGCAAGGTTATAATCAAAACCTATAAAGAATTAGAGGGAGCATGCCAAGAGAACATTTCCCATCTCTGTGTACTGTAAAACAGATCTACCAAATAACAGGAAAAAGTCAGGATGCTGCATAGCAGAGTTAAAGGCATCCAGAAGCACCAATGACAGTTCAGTCACTCACCAAGCTAATCAGTCAGTAATAGCTTATGTGACACACACATGGCACTACAGGGTGTTTCATATAGCAGACAGATATACCAGAAATGAAAGGGCTAAAGCCAACACAGGGCAAACAAAACGTGCAATATTCCCCTGGAATATTAGCACTGTTATAAAATAACGGCAAATATAATTGAGTTAAAATGTACAATGGTAACATTTGTATTTACCACTGCAAAGACTTTCAATCAAGACTGAGGCATTTCAGGAAAAGAGAAAAGCATGTTCTAGTTCAGTCAGAAGTTATTGGTCCAAAATGAAGGAGTAGTCAGATGAAATCTATGCTCCACAACACATAAAATGTCAGAGTAGATTATTAAAATATCCCTTCCTTCCTGTAATATTTATAGATCTATGAAAAACACAGTCTTGTCATCTCCTGCATATTCCTGTAAAAAATAGTATCATCAAATCTTCCTGAGAGGGGCACTAATTTAAACCAAAGAAGTCATTGGATATTTTCTGTCATCAGCAGAACATGAAGATCCACAAAACTGCTGATAGATGGACAGAGGTGTGATTTATAATAGAGGTACATTAAAAGTAACAAAGCATAAAGCACATTCATAATATTATAAATATTCACTATTAAATAAAAGAAAGGTTATGAAGACATTCACTTATCTCTATATTACTTAGTGTCACATTTCTACTGAGAATTTTATGAAATGCTGGATTACTTTGCAATTCCTACTTCAGATATATCTGAATATAACATATAAAGCATATTTTGCTATATAGATTCATCTCAATGTCAGTATTTGTGTGCCAGTCAAGAGCTATTCTCTCCATTGCTGAAAAATTTTGCTCCATCTACTTTTCATTTTTTTTGAAAATATGTTTTATTAAAAAAAATAAAAATCAATAACTGTGCTTCAAAGTTATAAGATCGAATTCTTCTTAAATAGAAGTACTGGTAACCTTTCTAGCTCAAGCTCTTGTGCCTAACATTTACAGCAGGGAAAGAGACTGCACATATCTGAGATGTGAGCAGCTGAACATATTAAGGAAGAAGGAAAAAAAATTTAGACCACCTGACAGCACAAACCTGACTCAGTGAGCACTGTGATAT